GCAGGGAATTTAGTAATGCTATGAGGTCATCGTAATGTTTGCTTAAAGATCTGATATTGTAGTTAAAGACAGTTATGTTGTTGTTGGCTCTGAGAAGTGTCTTTGATTGTTCTGCTGTGTAGTAATTACAGTTACTGTTTAATTCATTTAAGGCATTCAATAAGAGGTTGGTATCAGGATCAATGCTTGTAATCATAAGATTTATAGTGAATCTATAATTAGAATTAAGTATAAGACAAAGTAAATACGTATTCTAAAGCTAAAAAATAGCACCTGAATTATTTTAACAAATGTAAATATATGAATTAAGGTAGTTCTTCAAAGCTAAAATAAAGGAATCAATATAAAAGGGACTAATATAAGTTGTGGTGAACAAAGTGGTAATCAAATAAAGGAGCTTGGGAATATAACGGCAAAATAGTGAACTTATTACACTTTAGCACCTGAGAATAGCAGGTATGCCTCAGCCCTTGTGGTGGTGGGGTGAAAAAAAGGGGGGGGGGGTAGTAGTAGTAGTATGAGTATTATTTTTATCATTAGTATTATAATTTCATACTAAATCTATATTCTAGTTTTATATTTATTTTTTATTAGCACACTGGCCAATTCCCACCAAGGCAGGGTGGTCCGAAAAAGAAAAACTTTCACCATCATTCACTCCATCACTGTCTTGCCAGAAGGGTGCTTCACACTACAGTTTTTAAACTGCAACATTAACACCCCTCCTTCAGAGTGCAGGCACTGTACTTCCCATCTCCAGGACTCAAGTGCGGCCTACCGGTTTCCCTGAATCCCTTCATAAATGTTACTTTGCTCACACTCCAACAAAACGTCAAGTATTAAAAACCATTTGTCTCCATTCACTCTTATCAAACACGCTCACGCATGCCCGCTGGAAGGCCAAGCCCCTCGCACACAAAACCTCCTTTACCCACTCCCTCCAACCTTTCCTGGGCCGACCCCTACCCCGCCTTCCTTCCACTACAGACTGATACACTCTTGAAGTCATTCTGTTTTGTTCCATTCTCTCTACATGTCCGAACCGCCTCAACAACCCTTCCTCAGCCCTCTGGACAACAGTTTTGGCAATCCCACACCTCTTCCTAACTTCCAAACTACGAATTCTCTGCATTATATTCACACCACACATTGCCCTCAGACATGACATCTCCACTGCCTCCAGCTTTCTCCTCGCTGCAACATTCATCACCCATGCTTCACACCCATATAAGAGCATTGGTAAAACTATACTCTCATACATTCCCCTCTTTGCCTCCAAGGACAAAGTTCTTTGTCTCCACAGACTCCCAAGTGCACCACTCACCCTTTTCCCCTCATCAATTCTATGATTCACCTCATCTCTCATAGGCCCATCCGCTGACACGTCCACTCCCAAATATCTGAATACATTCACCTCCTCCATACTCTCTCCCTCCAATCTGATATCCAATCTTTCATCACCTAATCTTTTTGTTATCCTCATTCACTTTTTGTTATCCTGTATTCACTTTTAATTTTCTTCTTTTGCACACCCTACCAAATTCATCCACCAATCTCTGCAACTTCTCTTCAGAATCTCCCAAGAGCACAGTGTCATCAGCAAAGAGCAACTGTGACAACTCCCACTTTGTGTGTGATTCTTAATCTTTTAACTCCACGCCTCTTGCCAAGACCCTCGCATTTACTTCTCTTACAACCCCATCTATAAATCTATTAAACGACCACAGTGACATCACACATCCTTGTCTAAGGCCTACTTTTACTGGGAAATAATTTCCCTCTTTCCTACATACTCTAACTTGAGCCTCACTACCCTCTTCCATACATTTATTAAATAATAGCACCAACCACTCCAAAACTATATCCCCACCTACTTTTAACATTTCTATCTTTATCCCATCAATCCCAGCTGCCTTATCCCCTTTCATTTTACCTACTGCCTCACGAACTTCCCCCACACTCAAAACTGGCTCTTCCTCACTCCTACAAGATGTTATTCCTCCTTGCCCTATACATGAAATCACAGCTTCCCTATCTTCATCAACATTTAACAATTCCTCAAAATATTCCCTCCAACTCCCCAATACCTCTAACTCTCCATTTAATAACTCTCCTCTCCTATTTTTAACTGACAAATCCATAAACTAAGGGAGGAGAAAGTTCGGGCGAGATATAAGCAACTACTATTGGCAGAAAGGTGGGCTAGTGCAAAGATGAGTAGTGGGGGGGTTGAAGAGGGTTGGAATAGTTCTAAAAATGCAGTATTAGAATGTGGGGCAGAAGTTTGTGGTTATAGGAGGGTGGGGGCAGGAGGAAAGAGGAGTGATTGGTGGAATGATGAAGTAAAGGGTGTGATAAAAGAGAAAAAGGTAGCTTACGAGAGGTTTTTACAAAGCAGAAGTGTTATAAGAAGAGCAGAGTATATGGAGAGTAAAAGAAAGGTGAAGAGAGTGGTGAGAGAGTGCAAAAGGAGAGCAGATGAAAGAGTGGGAGAGGCACTGTCAAGAAATTTTAATGAAATAAGAACAAATTTTGGAGTGAGTTAAAAAGTTAAGAAAGCCTAGGGAAAGTATGGATTTGTCAGTTAAAAACAGAGTAGGGGAGTTAGTAGATGGGGGAGAGGGAGGTATTAGGTAGATGGCGAGAATATTTTGAGGAACTTTTAAATGTTGAGGAAGAAAGGGAGGCGGTAATTTCATGCACTGGCCAGGGAGGTATACCATCTTTTAGGAGTGAAGAAGAGCAGAATGTAAGTGTGGTGGAGGTACGTGAGGCATTACGTAGAATGAAAGGGGGTAAAGCAGCTGGAACTGATGGGATCATGACAGAAATGTTAAAAGCAGGGGGGGATATAGTGTTGGAGTGGTTGGTACTTTTGTTTAATAATTGTATGAAAGAGGGGAAGGTACCTAGGGATTGGCGGAGAGCATATATAACCCCTTTATATAAAGGGAAGGGGGACAAAAGAGATTGTAAAAATTATAGAGGAATAAGTTTACTGAGTATACCAGGAAAAGTATATGGTAGGGTTATAATTGAAAGAATTAGAGGTAAGACAGAATGTAGGATTGCGGATGAGCAAGGAGGCTTCAGAGTGGGTAGGGGATGTGTAGATCAAGTGTTTACATTGAAGCATATATGTGAACAGTATTTAGATAAAGGTAGGGAGGATTTTATTGCATTTATGGATTTAGAAAAGGCATATGATAGAGTGGATAGAGGAGCAATGTGGCAGATGTTGCAAGTATATGGAATAGGTGGTAAGTTACTAAATGCTGTAAAGAGCTTTTATGAGGATAGTGAGGCTCAGGTTAGGGTGTGTAGAAGAGAGGGAGAATACTTCCCGGTAAAAGTAGGTCTTAGACAGGGATGTGTAATGTCACCATGGTTGTTTAATATATTTATAGATGGGGTTGTAAAAGAAGTAAATGCTAGGGTGTTCGGGAGAGGGGTGGGATTAAATTATGGGGAATCAAATTCAAAATGGGAATTGACAGTTACTTTTTGCTGATGATACTGTGCTTATGGGAGATTCTAAAGAAAAATTGCAAAGGTTAGTGGACGAGTTTGAGAATGTGTGTAAAGGTAGAAAGTTGAAAGTGAACATAGAAAAGAGTAAGGTGATGAGAGTATCAAATGATTTAGATAAAGAAAAATTGGATATCAAATTGGGGAGGAGGAGTATGGAAGAAGTGAATGTTTTCAGATACTTGGGAGTTGATGTGTCGGCGGATGGATTTATGAAGGATGAGGTTAATCATAGAATTGATGAGGGAAAAAAGGTGAGTGGTGCGTTGAGGTATATGTGGAGTCAAAAAACATCTATGGAGGCAAAGAAGGGAATGTATGAAAGTATAGTAGTACCAACACTCTTATATGGATGTGAAGCTTGGGCGGTAAATGCAGCAGCGAGGAGACAGTTGGAGGCAGTGGAGATGTCCTGTCTAAGGGCAATGTGTGGTGTAAATATTATGCAGAAAATTCGGAGTGTGGAAATTAGGAGAAGGTGTGGAGTTAATAAAAGCATTAGTCAGAGGGCAGAAGAGGGGTTGTTGAGGTGGTTTGGTCATTTAGAGAGAATGGATCAAAGTAGAATGACATGGAAAGCATATAAATCTATAGGGGAAGGAAAGAGGGGTAGGGGTCGTCCTCGAAAGGGTTGGAAAGAGGGGGTAAAGGAGGTTTTTGTGGGCGAGGGGCTTGGACTTCCAGCAAGCATGCATGAGCGTGTTAGATAGGAGTGAATGGAGACGAATGATACTTGGAACCTGACGATCTGTTGGAGTGTGAGCAGGGTAATATTTAGTGAAGGGATTCAGGGAAACCGGTTATTTTCAAATAGTCGGACTTGAGTCCTGGAAATGGGAAGTACAATGCCTGCACTTTAAAGGAGGGGTTTGGGATATTGGCAGTTTGGAGGGATATTTTGTGTATCTTTATATGTATATGCTTCTAAACTGTTGTATTCTGAGCACCTCTGCAAAAGCAGTGATAATGTGTGAGTGTGGTGAAAGTGTTGAATGATGATGAAAGTATTTTCTTTTTGGGGATTTTCTTTCTTTTTTGGGTCACCCTGCCTCGGTGGGAGACGACCGACTTGTTGAAAAAAAAAAAAAACCCATTTGTTCTCTAGGCTTCGTTACCTTGTTAATCTCACTCCAAAACTTTTTCTTATTTTCAACAAAATTTGTTGATAACATCTCGCCCGCTCTTATAATACAGCATAAATTTTTGTTTTTTATTCTTGCTGGCAGTTTGAGCCTCAGTGAAAGGATTGTTAGAAGACAATCTTTTAATTTTTTTATCTTCTTATTTCAAAATAAGAGAAGACTGCCTTTAAGGGTTATCAGCTTTATTTTTCGCAATAACTAACCTTAGTATTGCTCCAAAAAATTTCTGTTATTTGTTTGAATTAAGCTGTATTATTATTAAATAGAATTTTTCTGTATTAGGTATTAAAAAATAATTCATGCATACAGTAATTTATCTTTGTCAAACAGATTATGAGGTTACAAAATCGAGGTGGAGAATTACATGTGAAGATGGTAAAAGATCGAGATTTGGAAAACCTGCAGAGAATGGTCAGAGAACAAAAATCTGAGAGGAAGGCACCCAAAAATCATCAAGTATGTTTTACTTTATACATTCATTTGTCCAGTATTTGTTACACTTATAGCAGATTTTGGGATAGTGTATTTATAATTATATTTATTGTTGCTGTGTACTCAAACCTTCATTGCACATCATGATTTTCATTTCTACAGTACGTTCCCAACTTAAACTTCTCTGAACTTCAGGGTATTTTGGAACCCAATTATTAACTGTAGATGCCCACATAACATGGTAGTTACATTGCTGGAGAGTACACCACAACTTTTTATGATACTGATACACAGTTTTAGGTTGATAGTGATATTGATTCTGATACAATCAAAATTGGCTGATACCCACAGATACTGATACTTGAGTCTGATACTGATAACTTCAAAATCAGCTGATATCCACTGATACCAGTACTTTGGCATACCCCTAGATATGGCTGTGTACAATTCCTGTACAAAAAAATGTGTTAGGTAGTATCAGCTGTTGACTCAGTGTAGTGTGTGCTGTATTTTTTCCACAGAGAATGGGCAGGTCTCATAACCTCAAACACAAACTAAAGAACTAGTGAATATCATAATTTCTTTACACAAATTTCTGATTTAATAGCTTTCACAATTTTATCAATCACCACTGTATTCAGCAATTGTATAAATTGAGCATCAGCTAAATAAGTGAAAACTATGTATGCATATTCTCAATGTCATGAACACATTTAAAACAATATAAACTTTCAATATCTGTAATCCTCTGAAACATTAAAAAATTGATTGTGTCCCCTTTATGTTAATAATCAAACCTGTAATTCCTCCCTATTAACCCTTTCAGTGTCCGTCCCGTAGATCTACGGCTTTACGTTCAGGGTCCAAACCGTAGATCTTTGCCATGAGCTCAGCTCACTCTGATAAACTGTGAGTGGTAAATTTGGGCCTAGATATGAGAGAATACATCTATGTGGTAAATTTGGGCCTAGATATGAGAGAATACATCTATGTGGTATGTGTGCACCACATAAAACAAATCCTGCTGCACACTGTGTATAATGAGAAAAAAAACTGAGACCGTGATTTTCGATTAAAACAGCGATTTTGCAGTGTTTTTTCGTGTGTGTTTTATAGTTGTATTTGCGATTTCTTGGTCTCATTTGATAGAATGGAAGACATATTACAGAAATAGAGATGATTTTGATTGGTTTTGGCACTAGAAACGGCTTGAAACAGCTCAAATTATCGGAAATGTTAAATTTTTGCCAATGTTCAAGAGTAAACAAACGACCTCACACGTCTAATACACACCAGCTGGTGGGTCTAATATACATTCACAAATGTGGTGATGATATTTATACAATTATTACAATATTGCATAACAGTAAATCTTCTATTTTTTGGTGTGAATAAAAATTCATTATGTGAATAAAAAATCAAAATGGAATTTATTTGTAAAGCCTCAAAACGTAACAAATGAGAGAGGAAATGTTAGTTTAGTGCCAGGAATACCTACATTGTTTATTCTGGACCCTATTTTAAAATTGGAATATTTTGAACTTTGTGTTAAATTGGCCAAATTACCAATTTCCAGTCACTTTATTTTGTAGTTGAAACAGTTGACTGGGCAATTTTTGTGCTCAATCGATAGAATAGAAGTAATACAAGGGGAAATAGCTAAGAATTTTGGTCGACTGGAATAATGTAATTGGCCTAAAATTTTAGTCAAAGTCGGCAAAATCGCCGATTCGTAAATATCGCTGACATCAAAATTTGTGAGAGCATTAATTTCGTCAGTTTTCCATCAAATTTTGTACTTTTTTTTTTTATTACCTTCAGAAGAAGATTCTTACCATTTCATAAGAAAAAATAAAAATTTTTTTTTTTTAAATTCTTGGACACTGGGGGCACCAATTCAGATTTTGGCCTTGGCCCCTGAAAGGGTTAATTTTGTTAATCCTTTGACTCTTTTGGCCGTTTTATACGTCTTACAACCAGGTTTCGGACGTATATATATTTTTTTTTTTTTATCCCCACCGGCCGATTCCCCCAAGGCGGGGTTTTGGGGCCCAAAAAAAGAAAAAACTTTCACCATCATTACTCCATCACTGCTTGCCAAAAGGGGGTTTTCACTACATTTTTAAACTGAAACATTAAAAACCCTTTCAGAGTGCAGGCACTGTACCCCCTCTCCAGGACTCAAGTCCGGCTGCCGGTTTCCCTAAAACCCCTTTTAAAAATGTTACTTTGTCACACCCCAACAGCCGTCAAGTTTTAAAAAACCATTTGTCTCCATTCACTTATAAAAACACGCTCACGCATGCCGCGGGAAAGCCCAAAGGGCCCCTGCACACAAAACCCCTTTTCCCCCCTCCCCCCAACCCCTTCCTAGGCCGACCCTACCCCCCCTTCCCTTCCAATACAGACTGATCACTCTTGAAGTCTTTGTTTTGCTCCTTTCCTTACATGTCCGAACCACCTCAAAACCCCCTTCCTCGCCTCTGGACAAATTTTTGGAAACCCCGAAACCTCCTCTAACTTCCCAAATAGAATTCCTTGATTTTATTCACACCAACATTGCCCTCAGACATGACATCCCCATCCCTCACCCTTCTCCTCGCTGCAACTTCATCACCCAGCTTCACCCCCATAAAGACTTTGGGAAAAACTTACTCTCATATTTTCCCCTCTTTGCCCCCAAGGACAAAGTTCTTTGCCCCACAGACTCTAAGGCCCCTCACTCTTTTTCCCTCATAAATTTTTCTTGTTTTCACCTCATCTTTCAAGACCCATCGCTGAACGTCCACCCCCCAAATTCTGAAACTTTCCCCTCCTCCTACTCCTCCTCCAATCTGATATTTAATCTTTACACCTAATCTTTTTGTTATCCTATAACCTTATCTTTCCTGTATTCACTTTAAATTTTTTTCTTTTGCACACCTACCCAAATTCATCCACCCAAACTCTGAAATTCCTTCGAATCTCCCAAAACCAGTGTCATCGGCAAAGAGCAGTGTGACAACTCCCACTTTGTGTGTGTTCTTTATCTTTTAAATCCACGCCCCTTGCCCCAAAACCCTGATTTTCTTCTTTACAACCCCATCTTAAAAAATATTAAACAACCACGGTTTCATCAACATCCTTGTCTAAGGCCTACTTTTATGGGAAAAAAAATTTCCCCCTTTCCCCATACTCTAACTTGGCCTCACTATCCCCGTAAAAACTCTTCACTGTTTCAGTAAACCACCTTACACCATACACTTGCAACATCTGCCACATTGCCCCCCCTCCACCCGTCATAGCCCCTTTTCCCAAAACCTAAATGCCACAAAGACCTCTTTAGCCTTATTAAATCTGTTCACTTTTTTGTTTCACTGTAAACACCTGGTCCCCCAACCCCCCACCTTTCCTAAAGCCTCCTTTTTCACTGCTATCCTATTCTCCTTTTTACCTTAATTCTTTCAATTTAACTTACCATACCTTTACCAGGTACATCAACAGACTTATCCCCTATAATTTTTGCACTCTCTTTTATCCCCTTTGCCTTTATACAAAAGGAATATGCAGCTCTTGAATCCCCAGGTACCTTTCCTCTTCCTTTTATTTATTAAAAAATTTCACCCAACCCCTCCAAAACTATATCCCCCCCTGCTTTTAACATATTATTATTTAAGTTATATATACTCATAATTCTAGCGGCTTCAAATTAAATCAAATCAAAGCTGGTAGGCCCACATGTGAGAGAATGTGTCTGTGTGGTCAGTGTGCACTGTATAAAAAAAATCCTGCAGCAGGCAGTGCATAATGAGAAAAAAAAAACTCCGACCGTGTTTTTGGATTAAAATGCCGACCTTGAGGTGTATTTTCGTATAGTATTTATGGTTGTATTCTCATTTTCCTGGTCTTATTTGATAGAATGGAAAACATATTACAGAAATAGAGATGGTTTTGATTAGTTTCACGATGAAAATGATCTTGAAATTGAGCTCAAAGTAGCGGAAATGTTTGATTTTTACCAACGTTCAAGAGTAAGCAAATCACACCACATGCCCAATACACGTCAACTGGGGAGTCTAATATTCTTTCACTAGTGCACTGATATTATTTATACCATTTTTACAATAATGCAGTAGTCTGCATAACGGTAAATCTCTTATTTTTTGTGTTTACCTGGAGTTTACCTGGAGAGAGTTCCGGGGGTCAACGCCCCCGCGGCCCGGTCTGTGACCAGGCCTCCTGGTGGATCAGAGCCTGATCAACCAGGCTGTTGCTGCTGGCTGCACGCAAACCAACGTACGAGCCACAGCCTGGCTGATCAGGAACTGACTTTAGGTGCTTGTCCAGTGCCAGCTTGAAGACTGCCAGGGGTCTGTTGGTAATCCCCCTTATGTGTGCTGGCTGTGAGTAGAAAATCTAAATAGAAAGCAAGAGTAATATAAGAGGGGCATAGAGACGTGACTAACGAACACAGGATATGTTATTTTAGTGCCAAGAATGTCTGCATTGTTTATTCTGGACCCTATTTTGAAATTGGCATCTTTTTTAATTTGCGTGAAATTGGCCAAATTGCCAGTTTCTGACCACTTTATTGGGTAGTTGAAATTGGTAAATGGGTGGTTTCTTGTACTGAAGAAATAGCTGTGAGTTCTAAAGAAATAGCTGTGAGTTTGGTCGACTTGAACAATGGAATTGGCCAAAAATAGGGCTCAGATTTTGCAAAATCGCCAATGTGTATACAGTGGACCCTCGCCTAACAATATTAATCCGTTCCAGAGAGCTCAACGTTAGGCGAAATTATCGTTAGGCGAATTAATTTTCCCCATAAGAAATAATGGAAATCAAATTAATCTGTGCAAGACACCCCAAAGTATGAATTTTTTTTTTTTTTACCACATGAAATATTAATTTTAATACACACAAACTGAAGAAGAGATGTACAATACATGACACTTACCTTTATTGAAGATCTGGTGATGATTGATGGGATGGGAGGAGGGCAGAGTGTGGATGGTCTTAGTGTTTAGAAGGGGAATCCCCTTCCA